GGGGGAGGAAAACTTGGCGCTCGGCGACGCGCTGTGCAATAACTTGTTGCCGCGGTCGCCTTTTGTGATCCCGGGCACGTTCCGGATGTTTGGACCTTTTATTTCCTCCCGTTCCTTCCTTCCCCGGTCCGTTGTCCAATTCGCGCGGCGCTGGAATCGTGGATGAGTTCGCGACCCCCCGCCGGAACCCCCCGTGACCCCGGATCAATCGGTCGTATCAGAGCGCGCGACCGCGACATTCCTCTCGATCTGGAGGGCTCGTCACTCGTGTTTACGTGATCGGAGGAGGGTCAGCGCTGCTTCCCAGTTTCGCCGCCGCCGCCGCGCAGCGCTCCAGGCGCTACCCAGCCACGTCCCTCGAACTTGGAACTTTGATCCCCGGTGGGTACTACTACACTTGGCCATCTTCTCGGAAGTTCTCGTTTGAAGAGGTAGCAGCCGAAGCTGAGGCCGTCGTTTTCGGAGAAAATATATTTTCGAGCCCCCGCACTGCTGTCCTCCTTGTAGTATAAAATTTATACAGTTAACGCGAGAATTCGCCTGATGATGACACCGACCTACCCACCTTGGCCAATGACCACTCGATGGACAAGGTGAGGACTTAAGGATTCTGACCATTCTCCTTCTCAAAACGCGGAGAACACAGTTGGCGGAGCACAAATTAGACGTATTTCTACCGAACAGAACTATGTGCGGGTAGGAAAGATGGGGTGTGCTCGTGGTGAGGTGGATAAAAAACCATGTGAAACTGTGCGTGATTCCCTTTGGAGGATGGAAAAGCGGGATTTTAAGTTCACCAAACAGAAATATGTGCCAGCTGTATGTGGCACTCATGAGACGTGGACATGGGGAAATAGCGTTGTGGACAAGACTCAGTTCTGTTTGGTAGAAATGCGTTCAGTTACTGAAATTAACTCCCAATTCAAAGATTCACCCTTAGATGTAGAGTACTTTTCTTATACGCCAAGTTCCAAGTCGGGTCAAATTAATTGACCCGTGTTTATATACATTGATTTTGATACTTTTTGAAGTATTATTCATGTTATTTCTATGTTATTAAAGGTAAGTAATACAACATGGGAAAGGACGCGCGTTGATGACGGCGCAGAGATGCAACTATTCGTGTTTGATGGATGTCCGTGTAGCATCTTCAAAATTGAAGGCGCTATGGAGCGAGGCGTGTACTCGCAGTGCTCCGGGCTCCGCTCTGTGTTGCCGATGAGGTATTAGATTCAGCGGGCTCAGATTCGGGAGCAAATGTTCAAAAATGAGGCTTCACTGCATCTCTCCTTTTTTTTTTTTTTTTTTTTTTTTTTTTTTTTTTTTTTTTTTTTTTTTTTTTTTGCGTGTACACTCGATTTTTGCCCTTTTCTTTTCAATCTGGTGTCTATTCTTTTTTTACTATGTATTTGTGAGTTTTTGCTCTCGTATATGTACCTACACAACCTATGAGTTACGTGTTGTTCGTACTGCCGTGCAACGCAAAAACGCCGTAAACGCCATTTTAAATTTTTTAGAAACAATGTGTCATGGCAGAAAAACTTGTGTACCTTGGGACAATGTTTTTACAGAAATTTATCGGAAATACTATTAAGAACTAAACCTGAAAATTTGAGGAGCATGATTAAAACAGTATTCATTTTATACAATGTTAAGTTCCAAAAAACGAGGGAAAATCTTGATGGATTGAAGGCGTTCTTGCTTAGCAAGGCAGCGTAGTCCTCGGGTCAATTTGACCCAGTTCCGGCATCTAAAGGTTGACATTTTTCGATGAGTGAATTTATTGCTGAAAATGGACTTACAGAGAACTTTGACTTTGTACTCCTGCGTGGCGGCTCGGCCCACTTTGTTGTCGGCTGTGCACACGTAGATACCAGCGTCATGCCTCGAGACATTTTCGATCTTCAGAGTCCGTCCTTCGTAGTTCATCATGTCGTTCCGTAAATTGTTGTTCTGAAACAGACCAATAAATGATGGGCGTAGAGTAACAATCATACGATAGGCTAGATATTGTAAACGTTTAAAAAAAGAAATGAACTTGAACTTCACCCAAAAATTTCAGAAGCAATCGATCACAAGCTAAATTTTTCGGAAGCAAATAAAAATAAGGGTAAATCCATAAAAAAATCCATTCTCCTATAAAAACAAATATATATATATATATATATAACTTGTTTGACGAAATTCGGCAATAATTCATGTGACTTGATTCCTTTCTGCTTAACGGGGCCCAGTTGGTATCGTGCTTTCAGTAAGATATGCCGAACAGCCACAACCTGATTGCTGCTCATGGGGGATAACTTGCCCATAAAGGAACTGAAGCTGAACGCAAAAAAGTACAGGGAGAGCTTGCAAAGTATTACGACTTCGAAACGTTCGGCAACGACTCTTGAGACGTCATAGGAAAAACTTGATACTTGTCAAAGCAAGCAGGCATTATAAATGAGGCATCTCCTAGGGGTTTTCAACTTAGCTGGACGCGTTTTTTTCACCGCTCACGCGCCACTAGCTACCGTGTGCAACAGTTGCTGATGAAATTGCAGGGCTGTCTTTTTGAAGCCTTCTTCTGCAGCGTTTGATTCAATTGCTATGAAATAAGGCCAAACGAAAGAAAATTTCTTTACAGGGAATTTAATTTACACGTCGGATGAGATTTGTAGGACGGGAAACGTCATAACTAAGTCAAGAATAGTAAAAACCAAGATCTGCTCTCGGAGTTGTTTTATTCCGTTCGGTTGCCTTTAAAGGAATTAAACGGGAATAACGTACATTTTTCATTTGGAATTACCTACAACTTCTGTGTCGCAATAGTTTTTCAACGTTCAAGTTGCATTAATCTTGCAAAATATCATTCGCACTTTATTGCATCTCGATACAAAAGATGCTTAAATAATAACAACTTTGATTTTGCTCGAAGTTTAAGGACAATTTTCCATTACTATAATTTTTTTTTTTTTTTTTTTTTTTTTTTTTTTTTTTTTTTTTTTTTGCACTAAACTTGCACTTTAATTCATCCGATGGACGGAGGAAATTTTTCTAGGAAAGTAGTTTTTATGAAGTTGTATCGGAGATTTGAAACCTACATTAATACGGGAGACCCTCTCTTCTGGTCAAGGATAAAAGAAAAGGGCATGAAAAAGTAATGTAAAAATTTCAAACAACCTTATACAAACACGGCAGACCGCGTTTTCCAATTGTAAATTTCAAAGCGTGATAACAACTCCCGTTTGATTTTAAAATTGTTGGAGATCCTCTTCGCCAAAAACGTTTAAATAGCACTCTTTCTAGGAGGAGTACAAAATACCTATATGTTGATGAGTTTTTTGGCGCAAGACCCCATATCCAGTGAGCTATAACACATAATTTATCTCTGAGAAAGTCCAAGAGAAATTTACATACAAGTAAAAAATCAAAAAAGAGAGGGAGCGCCACCAGGTGTTGCTACGGTCGGGCATGCGGTATTCCTGGCTGTATTAGAACCCGAATGACTTCGCTTTAAGAGTTTTCATGGAAATAATTTACCATTTAGCGTCACGATTCAAGGACACAAAACGATATTCTAAAACGATATACTAAACGTTTCCGTCAAAGAGGCGAAAATTCCCAAAAACCTTGGCAACATTTGACGATGCTTAGCATGTTTTGATTTTTATTTTCTCCCGTATTTTCTCCAACCTTTATCGGTCGCAAAATATAGGTCAATCGAAGGATAAAGAAAGACACGAGCTCACTCGAAAGCCGATAGAAAGCTTGCTCTCACACACTCGCACACATTCCCCGAACACGTTTCCGTTCAAAAAATCACAGATTATAGCTCGTTTAGCACTGCCATAACATTAACCTCGGAATACTGCCGTGCTCAGTCGAAACCGCGTAATTGCAGGGAGTTTTCAATGAATTTCAGTGCTTTTTGCATACAACGGCCGATTATGCTATCCAAATTTCCAGTATCCGGCTTAGCGGCGCCTTTTACGGTTGCAAATGCGCACTTTAACATCATAAAATTCTATCTAAGGCCCACATAAAAATGTAGCGCCCCCGCTCCAGCCCCGTTAACCCTCTGTTCTCTGTTTGCTTGTCTCACTGTTTTAGCGGATTGCTATCCAAGTAGTGTGGCAATTGTGGCATAAATGAACCGAATGTAACAGAAAGGAGCCTAGACACATCAAGATTAAATATTTGAAGAAAGGATCGAAGTTATGTTCTTCCGTCAACTTAATGTCAGGAGTAATGTATAGTGCCTAGTATCACAATGGAAATATTTTTGAATTTTTTGCAGGAGAAAATAAGCTGCTAGCTGAGCTTGAAAAATTTTGACGGAATTTTCGTCACAAAATGTGACTTGGTCTCATTCTGTTTACATAATTAAGTTTCAATTTTCAGAGGCTTCCAAAAAGCTTGCGGCCAAACGCAACTAAACTCATGGGGAAAGCAAATAATTTGAGTCAGAGACATTATGGTAAGTAGTAGTAATATGCATGTAATTTAAAGCGGAGCCTCATCAAAGGTCATTAACATCGCTGTAGTTAATCGTCCACAGAGAAAAGGATTAACTTAAGCCCCGGAAAATTTAACATTGGGACATTAACATCACTAAACGGGGAAGTATTTTGCAAATATTATGAAACCAAAAATATCAAACCATATCGGTGCTATGACGGTTTGAGGTGTACGATTCAAAAAAACATAGTATAGAGAAAACCGCTTTCATCGGAACACAATATTGTTCATTCTAAATGAAAATTTACACCCATCAAGAGAAAAAAGTCCAAGCCGTTCGCAACTTATCATATAATAGCTAGAGAGAGCTTTCCGTCGAAAATCAAGTCCAGCATGTATAATGAAAATCGCACTCCCAAAAATTTGACTTCCACGCTTCCTCTCATCCCATGGTGTAAAAAATATTTTCTTAGATGCAAACAACTAATGACTGCTATGCACCCATTGAGGAAAGAAGACTCAGTTTGAAAAACTTGATTAAAAAAATACTCTATCCTAGATTCATCAAGTATCGATTAGGCCACGAGTATTCTCAATGCATCTCTTTAATCATCATTAGGGGAATCTGTTTAGCCGCTTTTATAGGTCTGTTTGGTAACGTGACGCCATGTGCCATCAGGTGTGGATCTTTTACTGGCCACAACTCCCGTTGTTTTCTCTATGACGGAACCTCATTTTTGCTGCACATGCTCTGCCGTGAGTCAAGGACGCCACGTTTGACTAATTAGCTTTTGCATCGTAACGCCATTTTTGCAGCCAAAAATAGGCATTAGAATATAAATATTTGTTACCGGGAACGGGGAAATTCGATACGAATACGAATGGATCAAAATTACCAAAGAAGGGTTTCGAAGGGGACAAAGCCGCTTTCCAAAATCAACGATGGTGTCAAATAGCTCTAATCAAAAATAATTAGTGATGATGTGTAGCTCCTATTTTTAATTATGAGGAGAACCAAGTTTTGTCCCCTTGCCCTGCGCATTATCAATGTCAGTGGTTATTTAGATGAGGGTGTCAGTTTTTCATGTATTTCGGTTTTAGCAATGGTACATTTCGTCGCCCCGCTGGTTTAGGGGCGCATCTCAATTTCTACATGAGCCCCATTTTACATATACATCCATTCTTTTTCAGGATCATGCAGAAATCGAGATTCACCTTTACATCAGAGGAGCGACGATTTGTGAGAAGGGACTCAAACAAAAACCCACATAAAACTAAAGTGACCTAAACGATGACACTCCGTTCGTAAAACCAAAATCGACAGAGAATGTTAATATTTACTGGAGGTGATGCGCTCTATCATGATCGGATATAACATCAGCGAGGAAGACAAGAATTCGGTGAACATTGAATGGGCCTGTTGCAAACTTTTGCTAGAGCAAAAATAAGAGTTGTTTCCTATATATAATGCCTCAAAAATCACGATGTGCGCATCGGCAAAGTCTGAAATGCACTCATAACTTCACAATCTGCGTAAGAAATTTGCGTTTTTTTGAGCTTCCCGCTTCAAAAACGATACTCCGGCACAGGTGAACATTTTGTTAGAATAGTCGCTCCATCGTCGGCAATATTTATCATGGCCGACGCTTGCGCAGTTCCGCGCGTATTTTGAGGAGAGTTCAAGGTCAATCAAGGCGGGTGAGGAAAATATGAACGTAAACACGCCGATTGTTATCTAGTCTAATCCTGTTCAGGTGTTATCTCGTCCCATCACAGGTGTTTTGGCGGATTGTCGTCGGCCATGATGAGTATTGACGACGATGGAACGACTCCTCTAACAAAATGTTCACCTGTGCCGTAGTATCGTTTTTGAAGCGGGAAGCTCAAAAAACCGCAAATTTCTTACGCAGATTGTGAAGTTATGAGTGCATTTCAGACTTTGCCGATGCGCTCATCGTGATTTTTGAGGAATTATCTATAAGAAACAACTCTTATCTTTGCTCTAGCAAAAGTTTGCAACAGGCCCATTGCAGCGGAGAGGCAGAAAAATGCGGAGAGAAGCGATAAAAATCGCTCGAAAACTCGATGAAAAAGACGCGAAATGAGCTACGGTGAAAGAATCGACTCATGAAAGGGTTTTTGAAAGGTTTCAAAAGGTTTCCGCGATCATCAACGCGAGGTGGCAGTCGCGGACGGTAAACTGATTTTCTCCCGTGCCCTGTGTAACCTGTCTTGGATCTCTCCACAATCACCCGAATCAATTTTCCATCCTTGAAATTTCATTAGATCACGGGAGAAGCCGTCAAGGTGAAATCGGTTTTCGGTTTCCAATCAAAGGACCTTTGCCGGACTCATCGAGAAAAAAGAACCGCTTGAGCATTTCATGTGAACCTAGAGGGGGGGGGGGGGTGTCTTTGAAAGGTATAAAGTGTCAAACAGCCTCAAAGCCACGTAAAATCTTTCATGGGCGGAAGATAATCGCATTGATCAGCTTGGATGGAACAAAGGTAACGTTAAAAAACCAATTATGGCGTAGCTGAGAGCTTTTTGTCCCTGTTGACAAAGGGGCATTTATAAATAATAATGACACAATTTACTGTGTTCAGTTACAGGACTTTTGCTCTTTATGGATTTTTAGCTTAGAATCATAAAATGTTGGCAATTGCAACGTTAATTGGGAAATTGCAATTTTAAAGCGGTTGATATTTTACTACTTAGACATATGTTTTCATACTTTCCTGCATGTTACTCACTGCTAACCAACCATGTTTCCTTCGGTTTTTCTTTCCTATTTTTTGACAATGAGGGCGGAAAAATAATATAACGTGAGAAGAACACATGCCACTGCAGAAAATCTGATTATCACTTATGTTATTGCAAAAATAGGAGGGAGGCACAATTTCTATAATACAATTTCGGCCTTGGATAAAAGGAAGAGAGAGGGCAAAAGAAAACAAAGAGAGGAAGAGAAAAATAGAGGGGAAACAATCGTAAAAAAACTGTGTTTGGAGATCTTATCGCGTTGAAAAATGCATTTACCATATCGTTAGGAACAAAACTGGATGCATGTAGTGAAGTAGAAATAACTGTGGGCGATAAAAAACAAGTCTATTTGACACAGAATGTAAGCTGGATGTTGAAAATGTAATGCAAGTTTCTAGTGGTAATTTTTGTTTGTTTTGAAGCGGTGCTTTAGCAACTATGACCAGTAACACCTCTGTGATGAAGTAACACGGTTGGAATCTTCAGAGGACTTTATGTATCACATCACATTGGATTATTATCTCGAATCAAAACTTGGAATTCATGTAAGAATAATGAAGGGAAAAAATAACGTAACAAATTTAGATGGTATAATAATATTCCGATCAAAATTTATGATCGGTAAAACCAGTGTTGATAGCTGAACACTGTCTCCAAGGAGGCTGGCGCGAATTTACACGCTAGAGTCAGATTGCGCGGGACGAAAAACGCCTTCAATTAAGCGGTATGCAATTTAAGTTACTCAGGAGTCGGAATAATTGTATCACTCATTTTGGAGCGTGAAAACTCGGGTGGATATGGATAAATCTGGGTACGGAGGCGACATACCTTTCTGGACCACGTAATTTTGGGAACAGGATTTCCTTCCGCTGGACACTCCAGAATGATGGATGCGCCTTTGTTAACTTCCAAGCTACCTCTCGACTCATCACGCTTGATTTCTGGAGGAACTGTAACAAAGAATACATGATGATTAGCTAAGTCCGTTTACGGTTTTTAACACTTAGTCAAAACTTTCGAGTCTAATTTTAGCCCTGCTCGTTGAGGACCAAATTTTTAAGTTGCCATGATGGGAGCTCCAAAGTCTTGTATTAAAATGCAACTCAAGACACTTTTTATTTGCACAGAAAATAAACCACCACGCCGCTTTCAGAGTGGACCACAAAGCAATTAGGGATTCATCCTTTATACGCAATAAGGGATTTATTTCTGCTTCATTACAGACACGACGTTGGCACCTTTAGTATGCCTACGTTGATAGATGATTTATGCACGCGAGCCAGAAATTCCTTATTGTAAAATGATGTTCATATATTCTTCAGAGTAGTAAAGAGTGTTTACCGTCAAAAAATCGAAGTACGATCTCTTCCTCTACGTTCAGAGAAATCATGCTCATGAAAATTTGCCTCCGGCAAGTAAGACCCATTTTCCAACGGACGGTCACATTTGGAGAGAAACTCAAAGACGCCGTTAGTTTTCCCCTAAAATAATCGTTTTTCCAAAATTTTCCAAATTATCTGAGGATATTAGGAAGTTTCGACGACCAACCAGTTTCCCGTATTCTCGAATCCGTTACATCTTTAAAGGACTCCTCCGCTTATGTTTATGCCAGACTCAATTTCGTCTTCCAGGGGGGCTGGGAAGGGGAGGAACCCCCCCCCCCCCCCGGAGGCGCCTCGTAGATATTTTCAAAAAGAATCAATCCTGCGAAGTCAAGGAGCGTTAAACTGACGGCATCATCTTCCTAGTTCCTCGACTAAGCGCCGAGTCTATCCGCGTTTCGCTCACACTCTTGAGCACAGTTCGAATCAATTCCCCTTTGTTTGCGTATTCCTCGACTGTTCACCTCCCCCTTTGTTCGTCGCGCCCGCGCCCGCGCCCGCGCCCGCCCCCCACCCGAGACGCTGCAGCGACCTGTTTTGGAGGCAAATTGAATTCCTCGCTGAAAAGACTGTCCCGATTATCTTATTTGCGAAAGAAATCGCGTTTGAAGGCACGGCGAAATTGCCGGATTCTAAACGACGTCCTTAAACCCATTATCCGCCCCCCGGCCCCCCATCCCCCCCCGTCCCCCGGTCATATGTGCCTCTCGTATTCCCGGGCGTTTCAGGCCGGTGAAATAGCTTATGGGAACCTTGGTTAATACTTTAAGCGCGGATAGGATGGCTCCGTCATCAAAATTTCAGTCGCGGTTGTGGGAGGTTTGATTTTCCCGAGCGCGGAGCGAGGGTCAAAGAGCTAATGCGTTTTGTTCTCCCAGGCCGGAGCGCCGCGCCGCGCTTGACGGAATTCCAGCCCGAGCAGCTCGATTTTCTTCGCCGCGCCCCACAGTGGATCCAGTCAATCCGAGAAGTCGGACAAAACTTTGAAACTTTAAAAGCTCAAAACTCTATTATTGCAAAATTTAAAGGTCTTAAGAGCGGTATCATTGCTTTTCTTGTCAAATTTACTAGAGATAGCACCCCTAAAACTGTAAAATCTCACGAATTAAGCATTTAAATTTGCAGATTTAGGCAAATAATTCATGTCCAGCCTCTCCCATTGACTCGATCCACTGTGCGGCCGGTCCTGGAGACGCTGAAAGGGAATTTTCTCGGATAGGCAACTATTGCGGCCCCCGGAATGTTTTCTGGCATATCTAACGAAATGAAGGCAGAATCATGCCAATGCGTGAGTTGCTGTATACAGCGCGAACTAAGAGTCAAAATAAATTAGATATTAGATCAAATTCTTGAGCAACACTCGAAAAAAATGTCTCTTGGATCCGGGGTCCGGACTCTTAATAAATTTGACGAGAAAAAAAAAATGATTTTGATTAAATTGGACGTGTTCGAATCAGAAGGAAATCCGCTTAAATTTAGAGATTTGGCTCTCCAGTCAAGTGACAATTTGATTGAATCGAGAGTGGTTTTCTTTATTTTTTTTTTCTTTTTATTTTTTTTTTTACTCTGGATCTAAGAGATTTTTTTTTTCAGTGAGATAGCCTATTATTCCGTAGAGGATCAAAATCATGGCATCTTCCTTCCATTTTACGAAAACATTGTCCAAATACGTAGAAAGAATCCTCTGTGAAGCGATCGATCATTTCATACGTATTTTTCATTGGCGTTTTTCCCACACTTATCATTTCCGTTATACGCGATTATTCAAAAGAACTCCTCAACTTAGGCTTGGAGAACAAGGCGCATAAGTATTGTTTTTGAAAAAAATTGAAATATTCCTGAATTCAACTAAAACTAGTTTGAGAGTACATTCTGTGACAAATTTACAAACTTTAATGCATCAATCAATGAGTTTAAAAATTTTGAAACTTGAAACACGTATTTCTTGAAATAACAAGCGCTGCACTCGTGTCTTTCAAGCTCCTCCATTGCAAAATGTAGTCCAAATAAAGTAAGTTCTATTAGAATTCGAGTTCATTCCGTCAAATTGCTCACGTTTGATAGTTTAAATCGAACGAAAATAGTATTCAATGCAGAAATTTTAATTGTCATTTACAATTTTAACATAACCTACCACCATGATAGTTCTGTTCGATGGCGCCATCAACTCGAGCGTGCGAAACACATGGAAATTACGGCTAAGTCTGGGCGCTTCACGACAACTTATAATAGTTCGACTCGGAGCCCAATGGAAAGTTTGAAAAGCAGCTATTTACCGCCCGCGTAGGTACAAAGCGAACGCGGGGCCCCGACAAGCTATATCGCGCACCAAGACGCGCGGACTTTCCTCCGATTGCCGAATTTCCAGGCAACTTCAAGAAGCTCTCCTTCCGATTTCAAAAAACCACCTAACTCCTGTATGAAACGCACCAAGATTGGCGCTTTACGCTCAGCTTAGTAGCCGGAGCGTGAAACTTGGTCGGGCCCGTCGTTGCCATTTCGGTCCGAAATCGTGGATTTTCGGGTTGAAAAATGATGAGCGTTCCCCGAGCTCGACTACGCTGTTGGTCGAGTCGGAACTTGGGCGTCAAGGGGTGAAGCATGAAAGTGGGGTGGGGGTGGGGGTGGGACTAGGAGTGGAGGTCGCTTTTCATTTCGGGAGATTGGTGGTAGTAGCTCGTGTAAATCATAAGTCACAAGTGCTCGGAAGAAGACTTATAGTTTTCGAATAGTTGCCGCCATGTTGCTCGGTCTTGTCTGTCCGCTCTCCTTTGAGCACTGCGCTCGGGCACAATGAGAGATAGTGGGTTTTCTTGTGTGCTCCGCTCGGATGCCATGACGGGATTTCTCGGATTTTCGAATATTCTCACTTTTTAAAGAATAAGAGTAAACAATTTTACGATTTTTTTTCAAGCGGGCGACAACTTTGATACAGTCATTGAGCTCCCATTCACTAACTCCACTAAAAGTTTTCAGTCATAAAAACAGAGCCTCGATTCAGGCAGCCTTCAGTGCTACCGTTCCATGACTGACTTCCAAAGTTCTGGAATTCGGGACTTTTTTGTTTCAATTTCTCCCATCTCATGACTTTCGAAAGCTCCGGGATTCTTTTTAGATTTTTTAAAAGTTCTGGGAAATTTTTAACATGTGCAAAAGATTCGGAACCTTTCGGGAATTTCAAAAACGCCAGGAAAAATTCAATAAAATCTCAAAGTTCCGAAATTTGGGAATAGTTCCGGGAATACGTGGGTCGTCGAATCGAAGAAGACGATACAATCGAAATGAATTACATTTTCCCCACATATAGAGAGACGAAAAAATTTAGTCATGAAACTACACAAATTGATTGCTAAAAATACTGGTTCCAAAAGTTTGTAGAGGAATCTTTTAGATGCAGGATAAAATTTCTTGGTTCGAAAACCTTGAAGCTCAGATCAAATTTTCTGAGCTATCACAGCTGAACAAAATTCCTTGATTTACTCAAATATCTATAATAGATAAAAAGAATTCAGAATTTTCAAAACTTGCAACCATGTCCGACAAAAAAAAACCGTTTTAGGCATAAAATTCCTATAGAAATTCTCTGAATGGAAAAAATGGAAACTGTATATCGCATTGGGCCCAGCAATTGCATACAACAAAAAAATTGTTCAAAGCTACCGAATACAATGAACTGGTGCGAATCAGATGGTCGAAATACCTAATCCTCTACGACTTGGTCTAAGAAAGTGAGGTCGTTTCATACGTTTTCAACTTTCAAGTGATTAGAACCGCACATCCATCATGATAAAAATCCATGTTGTACATTGCTGACTTACGAGATTCAACCGTGAGATCACGATTCGCGAAACTGACCTGTTGTTACGCGAAATACACACAGTGAGAACAGTTCCAATTCCTGGACAGAAATTGGTGCTAATTTTTGAGAGGAGCGGTGAAAATTAAGGGGCTTCTCGTCGCTTCGGTCCCCGTCGGGAAATTCTATTAGACTCGGTCGGGCGGAGTTTATTGGCTTAGCCCGGGCAGCGTTGGGAACACAGAAATGAGTCGCGGAATTTCCACCGATTCTTGGGACAACAAGAAGAACCACCTATCTACACAGTGCTTCCATGGGAGTCATGCGGTTTTTGATTAGCGCCTGGACAATAACGAGGGAGTTTACGACGCGGCTAGATGTTCAACAATTGCACCGAAATCAGACCGCAAAGAGTCCGCTGCTTAGATATACAAATTCGTCGCATTAAAATTCATAGACGCGTCGTTCCGACGAGCAAGACAGAAATGGATGCAGCTCTCGGTCGCAAAAGTGACCATCTGGACGTTGCAAGGTTGTTCTGTCCCATTTACGAGGACCTCCCGTACATTATGATGTATCGCTGATTGTTTTTGACAAATCTTCTTAAAATCTGAATGCTGTTGGACGAAATTTCAACATTTTCTTTACCCTTTCAAAAATATTCTACAAAAATTTCGTTTGAGGATGTCCATTAATATTCCTTTAAAAAAATTGAAAAGGGACAGCCATTTCAAAACACTGACGTCAGCTCCTGTCAATTATCTATCGGATG